TCTCTCTCTCTCTCTCTCTCTCTCTCTCTCTCTCTATTTCTCTACTTTATTATTCATCGTATATAGCTAAGCACTAATGGGTGAACCGAGGTGTAAAGACCGAAGGTTTCCCTCGACGGACGAGCAAGTATAATTATATACAATTCGACGTTCGAAGTAATTAGACGATATCAATTAACCGGCGTTCAGTACACGTTATGTAAATCAGCGAATAGTTTTTAATCAGGTGCAACCGAGGATGAGACACGGTCCGAATGAATCATCCACTTGCGAACGTGTTGTAACGGCTCGTAAAACACCATCGGTTCAGATTTAGACTCTCACGTATTACGTGCACACATGTGCATACACATCTTGCTCCCCTGATAATTTGCACACGCCCGCTGAATATCGATATGTGCTACCATGTGTTAACCCACCCACATTCCGTGTCTATCGCGTCGCACGTTTCGACGAGGCGTATATCATGCTCGCCAGTTCATCGGAATTTTATTGTCATTCGATATTTGTATAGATTGGTCGGTAGTTTCATGGTCAGGACATTGTTGTTCGACTTGTCTCAGATGCTCGTAATTCGACGAACGGACACGCTTGCCTAATTTTTGATTTCATTCTTTCTCGTTTCGCTTGTTGCGCCATTGCTGCGCAAAAGAATTGATCGGCGCAATTTGTTGGACGACTTTCGTAAAATTTCGTTTTAGCTAGCATCGCCAGCTTCAATTGTGCAAGATCGTGGTGATTCATACGTCGTCGTGATTCATACCTTGACATTCAATGATATTTTATTTACTGATCGGTGCACAACGTGTGTCTAATTGGAGCTCTGGTGCATCTGGTGGATGTTTGCTAATCTTCCCTGGACTATCTCTAGAGATAAACGAATGCAACTGATGGGGACACTGCGGTTAATCCGACGTTGACAGACGTTTCCATAGTTTCGAATCGATAGTTACGCGTATTGTTCATGTTATAGAAGTTCTGTTCTAAATAATTCTATTATATACAATACAATTCTATTCAATTTGACCGCTGTAACTTCACCAACTACTGTACTATGACAATCGTACCTCTTTCGAAATCCTTGTATAAATCTACTTGTAAAATCTACTTTAATCGTCATTTAAATCATAATGATTTTTACGTGGAATATCTTAACACGATTGTTTCACCGTCGATAATGTTAATTTCTACTTATTTACTTGTACATTAATATTCTTTCTTTTATTCATTTATATTAATATTTTTGATCAGTTATATATTGTGTATATGTATATGTGTGTATATATATGTATATATGTATATAGTATATAGTATATATG